TCGGGCTATTATTCCGCACTTATATTTTGGGTTTACCCGTTGTTATGTAAACTTTGATTATTTTTAAATGTCTTAACTCATTTCTATTAAATGTTGAAATTGTTTTGAAAATATCAGCTTGCCTAGTACCATGATAGGCGCCATCACGACGGGTTAGGTATTTGGGTCGTGACAGCTATAGGTCTTGTCACAACAACACTACAGGTCTGAGTCAATGTCACATTTTCTAGGTATCCTTTATAATTTTTGCATAACCGGGCATCTCCCTCAAGGCATCAATCAGTGGGATGTTCACCTGAATCTGCTTCAACATATCCAAAAATTTTTATATTGCTCATCCTTCTGATATTTAGCCAACCTCTGCAGGAAGGGAGCTGGAGGTCTCTTCCTTCTTGTGACTTGGATGGGATTCTGTTCAAGCACTTTTTCAGATTTTTTTCTCCTGCCCTTGCTTAGTTTCCTTTGTAACCTCCCTTTTCCTTTCTTTGTTCCTCTTGGGCCTATTATATTGTTACCTCTGTTAGCTCAATTGACTCATCTACCTCAAGAGGTGTGAGAACATGTGTTGTAGTTGGTTGACTTTCCCGAGCAATCTGTTGCTCTGGATCAATATCTATACTATTTCTTAGATTCACCGCCATCAGATGCTTCGGGCCTTGCTTTTTCGGATTGACATGTGTGTCTGCAGGTAACGTCCCTTGGGGATGATTATTCAAAGTCTTCGATAACTGCCCTAATTGAATCTCAATGCCTTTATCGTTGAATCATGTGCTTCAACTTTCTCTTGCATTTTCCATTGGACCCAATGAGTTGTTGCAGCATTTCTTTAATTTTAGACAACCCATCATCTTACCTCACTATCTATTGTTGTTGAGGCTGTTGACAAGCTAGCTGTTAATTTTGCTGATTGTATCCCTGTTGCCTTTGGTATGGTACGACTTTACTCTATGGTCGCATAGCTCCAGGATTGTTGTTGTTATTGTACTGCTGATGGGCTGGTCTATTCTGCCGATTCTGGTGCCCCCTATTTTGGCCACCTTGCCTTTAGCCTCCAAAGTTGCTCACATAGTTCATATTCTCTTGGTAGTTATGACAGTCACTTTCACCACTCCACGAGCATACATATGGTGGATTAATGCATGGTGTGCATTATCCTCCATTTGTCATGTCAACTATGTGCACCTACTGTTGGCCCAACTCATCAATCTTCTTAGTGAGGATACTTATTGCGTCATCAGAGTGGCCATATTTTTAGCTATTGAGTTCTTTGGGTTTAGAGCTACTGAATGTACTATAGGAGTGATTGTAGAGTATCTTGTCATCCATCCTGAAGTTTGAGCCATTTTATCTAGTAAGACCTTACATTTCTGAATGATCTGCTACAAATGCTCCAACTGCTGAAATATCAACATTGGCCTTCAAGATATATGCCAATCCTATATAGAACCTTGGTCCCAATATCTAATCTAGAATGCTATGGTGTGGACATTTGACCAACATCCCTTTAAACCTCTCCCATATTTCTCGCAATATTTCAGTTGGTTTCTGCCTGAAGCTTAATATCTCATCAACTTGCTTGGAAGTCTTATTAGGTGGGTAGAATTTGTTCAAAAACTGCTTGACTAATTCCCCCAAGTGGTGATGGAGTTTATGTGGACCAAAGTGAGCAAGTCTTAGCCTCTCCCATCATTGAGAATGAAAACAACAGTCTGATTCCTTTCGGTGTTACATCCAGTTGCCTTTGCGTGACACAAAATTGACAGAAATTTTTTGAAGTGTTGTTGTGGATCTTCAACGTAAGACCCCGAGAACAGTCCCTTCTTTTGCAGCATATGTAGCATGTTGTTCGTGATTTAAAATGATTTCGCTTGTATTCGAGGTACTGCAATTGCAGTTGCCGGATTTTCAGCGACAGGTTGTGCCCAATCATAAAGGGTTGTTTCTGGAACAAGAGGTGCCACCCCCTAATTGTTTGGGTCTTTCCCAATGTTTCTGTTGTTTTGATTGTCTATAACGTCACCCATGTCTAGCTCAATTCATTCTGTTGGGTTTTGTTGTCTTTTGTCCTTTTTGTTTGCTCGATTTAGTGCCTTGAAAGCTTTCTCAGGGTCTGGTAATGCTTCAAACAGTTCACTATTCTTGAGGAGTTTCTAGGCATGTACCTATAATACACAAGACTACAAACGTCAGAATTAAAGTATAATGAGTTTAAAATGAAGAAAATTGACTAAACTAAGAATTCTAGCAATTCTTTTAACTATAATTAATAACACCATTAATCTTTCGGTAACAACGCTAAAAGTTGTTCACGCCCAACTCTAGTGCTAAATAGGATAAGCGGTTGCTGCAAATATAATCCGGTCTAAGAGTCCGGAGTCGAATCTCACAGAGAACTAAGGTTTAGCTACAACTGTTCACTATTACCAAGAAGACAAGCTCAAACAATTCCTAAGTTATAAATATAAAGATTCTCTTGTCTAATTAATTAACTGACAAATTAAAGGAATGAATTAACAAGTAAGATACGAAGGGTTGGTGACAAAATTAAGGAGGTCTAGAGTTATGATTTTTTCAATTGTCGGAATCCTTCCCGCTATGTCTCCTATAATATCGCCTAAGCATTCTTTACCGTCTGTGAGTATTTACTGTCGTAATTCTCTTCCGAGTAACTACCACAATTTACTAGACGTATTCTTCCGAACTATGCTAGCTGACACTAATTCACCTCTCACTGTAATCATACCAAGGTTTTATTATTCCTAATCCCACCTTTAAACCCTCTGTATTGATTCTTCATATACGTTAGGAGTGATGTTGTTCAACAACTACCTAAATATATACCATCTTCCAAGCAATACACACTAAATAGGCATAGTTAATTGAGAGCTCTTCAATCAACAACAAAGAAAGCGTAGTTGAACAAGTAGAGAAAGATCAACGCCAATTTTATATTAAATGCAGTAGAAAAATCATCCTACAATAGGCTCCATCAAAACCCTAGATAACAAATTAGCTATTCATAATAGTATATAAAACTACAATACTAAACTTCATAACCAATAATGAAAAATTGGAAGAAGAAAGTAAAAAACTCGTAGAAGAATTCTCTATATTGCTCCTAGTGTGTTCTTGCCTCCTTAGGTTGAATCCCTCTCGAAAACATTCAATCCCCCCCCCCCCCCCAAGACATATTTAGGGAGTATTTATAGGCTAGAGTAGAAGTCTCCAAGTCCAAAATTGAGTAGGAAATAATTTATTCGCGGATTGGTGGACCAGGCCTTAAGCCAGGCGAGGCCTGGTCTGTTGCACGCCATAAGCCAGGCGAGGGCTAGTGTAAGGCGAAGTTGAGCTCGCCTTAAGCCACGCGGGGTGAGGTCTATAGCGAGGAGCAGTGTGCTATAGAGGTGACGACGCCCGGCCTGGTGCCAAGCTTGGGTACTTCGTGCTTTTGTACTCTTTTCTTGTATTTTCATCATCTTTTCATGCAACCTTCACTCGTCTTTATCTTCTGGTGCTCCTACATATAAAATAACATAATTTAGCTCAAATGTCGCATAATTAAGCGCTAAAACTAACAATATGCAAGGCGGGTAATCTACTAAAAATATAGCATTATGGCCAAACATCACTAGCTATTAGCAGTTAAAATAGTCATTCTAAATCCGAACTCATAAAGTTAAAATTATGGTTTCGCATCCGTAATTTCAGCAATAATCTTCTTAAAGATGAATTTTTGAGAATTAAAGATGTTTGTTAAATTTTTCATAATTTTTTTCTGAACAAAAACTCTTAAAATTCAAAATCTATTTGGAGACTTTGAAGATTGGACGAAATTAATTAGGTCATAGCTATTATGTTACTAGATGGGATTGGCCCGTGCCACTTTATGTTAGTAAAAATAGTATGGGTTAGCCAGTTTTCGGACTGGTCATTCAAAAATAGCCAGCGTTTGCAAAGTTATTGAAAAATAACCACTATTTTGCTGGAAGTTCATACACAAGTGCACCGATCTCCAGTATATTATGCTGGAGTATTTTCCGAATTTTGAACAGTATATCCGTTCAGATTTATCTTTACATGAAAAGTGGCTAAATATCAATTACTTTTAAAACTGTGGCTATTTTTTAATGACCACTTATAAATCTGACTATTTTTTAATTTCTCTATTTATATTATAGCGTAGTGTATTTGGACAAATATTGTTTATCAACATACAAAGTAAAGTACAATCACGGGCCCAACACTTTATGTTAGTAAAAATAGTACGGGTTAGCCAGTTTTCGGACTGGTCATTCAAAAATAGCCAGCGTTCGCAAAGTTATTGAAAAATAGTCACTATTTTGCTGGAAGTTCATACACAGGTGCACCGATCTCCAGTATATTATGCTGGAGTATTTTCTGGATTTTGAAAAGTATTTTCGTTCAGATCTATCTTTACATGAAAAGTGGCTAAATTTCGGTTACTTTTAAAATTGTGACTATTTTTGAATGACCACTTATAAATCTGACTATTTTTGAATTTCTCTATTTATGTTATAGCGTAGTGTATTTGGACAAATATTGTTTATCAACATACAAAGTAAAGTACAATATTCAGCGGAAGAACATATCATTTGCAGCATACTAACAAACTAAAACATGTATTTGCCGTTCCTGTATCCAGGTTTATCCCTAATGCTTTCACAAGTCTCTCTTTGAAATGAAGACAAGGCACGGCATCAGCTCAAAGTGATTGTTGTTTCGCTTTGATGTGTCAGCAAATTGGCTCTCGAACATTAAAGTTACTATAAAAAGTGCAAGTTTAGCTTGACTTAAGCTAAGCCAGGTGTATTTTTTTAGCTAGTCAGAAACAAGTATGTTAGAGCAGGAATGAAGGTGATATTTAGGAATACATTTTTCATCAAGCGATACAAGCTGAATTAAAAATGGAAAGTAAATAGTATTCCAATGCGGAAGAACTGTTCCTGAATAAATTCCATAAAGATGATAATCGAGAAAGCTTTAAAGAAAAGAGGAGAAGACTTTTATTGATCCATCACAAACTGAATGTCTTTACAATCAACTAATTATTATTTATACAAAGGGCAGAAGAGGAAAAGAAGTTGTTAAAACTAACTTCTGGAAATCAGTTGCCAATCATGTGCCTATTAATGTAGACCCAATCCCCGACCTAACAACTCTTATTAGTTATTCCCTTGTCACTCTGAATTATAGCTTTTTCTTAAAATATAGATGTTCTTAAGTTAAACAACTTTCAAAGTTTAGAATTAAAAAGAAAAAATAAATAGAAACTCTCGCGTATCCTGCCAAGCTTTTTCTACAATTATGATTCTTGTCCTTTTGGGATCGCACCATAATTACAGGACATAATGAAGTATTGTGTTAATTCTTTTCAGCTACATTGCTCATACTCTCCAAAATATCGTATCCTTCAAAAATACACTACTTTTGGAGGATCTGACACTCACCTGATGACATTTTCGGACAGTCCGAATAACATAAAGCACCAGTACTGAGGTACCTTATTCAGATGATCTAATTGTAGCTGATGTAACACTTTCAGAGGCTTGGTTTTGCCCTCGTCTAACTGTACCAATCTCTGATGATATAAAATCCACCTTCAAGGTCCCATAGTGGGGACTTGAGTGATTTTTTTGAAGGAAAAAAATGAATGTTTACCGTTAGATTCAGTTTTTTATATGATTCTGGTCTTTCTCCATTATAAGTGGTTGACTTATCAGCATTTCAAATCATTTCTGAGATTTATTTAACCTTTTATGGTGTTGCATATTAGCATAACGGTCATAAAACTGGCGACTCACAATAGCACCTAATTGGTCAATGTTTCTTGTTTGTCTTGATGTCTTTTTTTCTTCAGCCATTAGTTCAAAGTAAAGAACTAAAAATCAAAGGACTGCTGCTTAATATTCCATTTTCATAATGAAGCAGGGAAACTTCACAAAATAAGCAAGAGTACTTTTGAGGTCTAAAGGCACAGTTTACTAATGCAACAGGTTTGATGAAGGAAATTTCTATGCAATATTTTGCTTGAAACATAAGTCATTGATTTTCAAACTGTTGAGGTAACATTGCTAATAACATTATTTTATGGAGAAGTATTTTAATGAAAAAGACATGAAAACTGAAATGCTCTTTGCTTTTTCTTTATCAGTTTGTGAGAGAACTCCATGAAGTTACTCTTAAAGACACTCCTTTTACTTTGCACCTTTTGAAGAGAAACCGAACAACAACTGCCTTTTGTATGCATTTCTTATGTGTTATAAGGGTCTTATATCCAGCTTAGAATGAACATTAATTTTGTTTTCTAGGTATTTAAGCAACAATCTAGAGCAATTTAATTTTAGTTTGAATCAAATAGTTTGAGTAATAAGAAAAGTGGTCAGCACATTTTAATATAGCAGTAGACATGTTGATGCAAGCTAAAATTACTTTTTTGAAGAAAAAATATGAAATACCTTCTTTTCTCATTATCCCCTATTTTGGTACAAAGAAAGTGATGTGTCGTGAATAATAGAGTAAAGAATATTTTACTTTATGAAGGAACAAAAACTAATTTCTTTTTTCCCTTTTTTTAGGGTGTGGAGGGGGGATGTTCAGAATTCTTATTACATTGGTTACAAAAAGCAAAATCATACACTGAAACTTCGCTCATAGCACATTCCAGTAATTCAAATTGAGAATAGAGAGCAAAAGAAAGAGTTGTGCTTCTCTTGATGAGCAGAACATATGAAATGCGTATTCAAGTGTGAGAAGTATGTGTACTCATCTGAAGTAACATGAACGGCTAAAAATGCAGCTAAAGTAACTATACATTTTTATGTTCAAACCAAGTAAGGAAAGCCTGAAAGGCCATCAGCCGTCATGTAGAAGAGCATAGGTGGTTCAGTCTTATACTTTTGAGCATATTATTACTAAAATGTCAGAGCATTACCTTTTTCCTTGATGAATGTTTCATTTATACTGCAACCGCAAACATTCCAGCTAATCCATCTGCCCACAAATACAATTAAGTCCTATTATTAGGAACAATAATGCAATTATTAGATGTAAATTCCAAATAAGCATATCAAGAAAACATTTCCATCCATTCAATCTCAAAATTATTATAAAGTTTTCATATACTACTCGTGAACTCGAAAGAAAGAATTATATCTTATCAAGCAAATCGTTGTAAGCATATGATGAGATTTAACTCCATACTTCTGAGCTCTCCAAATATTTAGGTGGTACTTGTATTCGCCCTCTTTTATCAGTAACATCTTTGTCATTATTTTACTATTGTTGAGTGCTAGTATAACATCAAGTTTCAAAGCAAATAAAGAAGCTTTTGAAAGATTATGAAGTTTCTTCATTACTGTAGTAACTACACAAAATGAATTTAAATCATCATAATTTCAAAAAATACATGTTCTTCAAAAAAAACTATATAGAAAACTAATAAGTTCGACAACCATTTGTTTGTAGAAAATCTGGATAGCACTCCACAGGTTGAACTCACTTGAGTACAGGGAGAAAATGAAGAGAGTTATTAGCACAAATTATGCTTCCTCGATCAGTCTCATATCTAAAGTATGGACATATCTAAATATACCAATAAGCAAGAGGCAATTGCAATTACTTGTACGCAAATCATATCAGGATTTAATTCAAAGAGTTCATCACAAATAGTTTTTCTACAGTGGTCAATGTCTCTTTTTTTTATTTTTGTGGTAAGTGCATATAAATATAGTGCTTCCTATGCACGACAATCCTTAGAAAAGAATATCAATAAGATTTCAAGTGCCCCTCCTCCTTTCTATGATGCTAGTGGAAAGTACATATTTTAAAGAATAGACTTCATTTATTCAAATATCAACATTCTTCTAAGCAAAAAAGAAGGTATATTCTTGAGTTCTCTTTTAAGTCTGTCTTCCACGAACAATCAGTGCAAATCACTATGGTTTCATCATCATGGAAGCTAACAGTCTTTTCATCCCTTAATACTTTGATTCTCATCTCATTCTCTTTGTGTGCAAAACTAAAGTTCAGAAGGCAATTTTACAAACACCTAGTAGGCAAACTGAAAGCAAAGCCGCCTAAGGAAAAAAATTGAAATCTAGCAAATAATTGGTGATTCCTTAGACTTATTAAACCCAGAAGTAACACACGAAGAAGAAGAAGAGAAGTAATTACTTCCAAATACAACGATCAAATCTTAGAGGTAGAGCAAATTCAAGAGAGACCCAAATTGAGAAACAGAGAAAATTTTAAGAAAAAGAAATACAAACTCAGAGAATTCAAATTCGAACAAAAGAAGAATCTTTAGGAATCAGAAGCATCAATTTTGATACCTGGTGAAGGGGTTACTCCACAGCAAGAGAAGATGGGCGTGAACACTACAGGGAATACACGAAAATAATAATCTGAATCACAAAGAAGAAAAGCAGATGAGACTTTTATGCAAATTGGGAAAACTCTCTCTCCAAAGTACAACATGTGCAATATAAAGTATAACTTATTGCTGAGTAGGATAAATTAAAAAATTAAGTTGAAATGACAAACGTGCCCCTGGGTAAGCTGGCATGACGACCCTCAGCTGCTTCCAAGCGGCATCTATATATGAAGAATTTAAATTAAACTTGACGATACACTTTAATTAGTTTATGCTGGTTAAATCAGAGCTATCACCTGAGTTCAATTTAAATATGTAACTTATTTATAAAAATATATTCAACATATTTTATAGATGTTAATTATAACTTATAACGAACCGTGTACATAAAATAATTCCACTACGTTATATAATTCCATTTAGGATTGCATAAAAATGTTGTAGGTGCCATTTTTATACTTTTGGGCTATGCTAAGGAGATTCAAATTTCAAAACATAATATATTGAGGTAAAAAATAGATTTTACCTTATATATACAGTGTAATTTTTTGGAGAAGCGGGTTCGCATCCGCCCCTTCCGCCCCTAAATCCGCCCCTGAGTGCCACATAGGCTTAAAATGTGATATTTATACCTAAAAGTTCAGGTATGCAATTGAAAGTTCGGGACAAGTAACAAGGGGTATTACGTATATCCCAAAAAGAAATGTATGAATCTACATTAAATTCTTAAAATATTTGTGTTAAAATAATAGATGCCAAGAAGAACAAAAATACTTGCACACGTGATATATCTTTGGAGTATTATTTATGTATCTTTATGACCAAATCCGTTTACATTAGAATTACTCGTTAATGATTGATCCAATTTGATGGAGTCGCTCTTGAACACAAAGTGATTCTGGTCCGAAAGTGATAATATCAATCATTTGACACGCAACCTAAAATTTGAGTTTTCCTTCAATAGCATGAAAAATGAGTGGATAGTCAACATGGGTACCACTACTTGCCTTTTATCTCTTTTCTTTCTCCTTCTTAGTCAATCTCCTAAGGAAAGAAATAATATTACCTTTATTAGGCAACTTGCAAAGACAATTCTTGCATTTAATAGACAGTGACAATTTCTCAATTTATTTTAAGATAACTATGTTTGATACAAACACTTGAAGCAATGGTAAAGTAACCTATTGATCATAGGTTCAAGCTGTGAAAGCAACCACTAATGCCTGCATTAGGATAGTGTGTGTACATCACACCCCTGAAGGTGCAGTTCTTCCCCAAACTCTGCATGAACACGGGATGCATTGTGCACCGAGCTGTCTTTTTTTAATCAATATTTATCATGAGTATTTGCTTGCAGTTATTTTATTAATGACTTTGATTGTATAAATATTTTTTGCATTATAAATACATTTAACTTAAAGTGCTCTTGAATGGCTAAGGCAAGAAGATGAGGTCTATATAAAGGCAGCAGCCAAGGCATACTTGATATGCTAAGATATAAAACAAGTTTTTTCTTTCTCAATGCATACTTAATTCTAGCATAACAAGAATAAAGGGGTCATCCATTTTCTGCACTCATGGCAACTTCTCATGTGGATGAAAATGGGCATGATGATGGATATACAAAAGATGGAACAGTGGATCTCAAAGGCAATCCTGTTCTTCGATCCAAGAGAGGTGGATGGAAAGCTTGTTCCTTCATTGTTGGGTATGGTCTCTTAGCTCCCTCCCCCCCCCCCCCCCCCCAAAAATAAAAAAAAGAAAAAGAAAACCTCCCCCAATACTCCCAATACACAGATAACAATGGCATGACGCTTCAGTTTCAAATAAGTTAAGGTCGGCTATATAAATTCTTTACTGTTTATATATATCGCTTCATTAGTCATGCCAAAGCTCCATAAGAACCATCAATGTCTAGTGTCTTTAATTTCTTTAGCTTATCCCTTTGTAAATTAAAGCTGCAGGAATCATATATCTTCTCCCCAAACCTTTATTCACCTGATTAATCTCTTTGCCAGTGAAGCAATATACACTGTTCTATCCTATTGGGGCGGGGCTAGAACTCAACCTTCGGTTGTGGCCGAACTCAGTAGCTTTTGTTCAAATTACGTATTTGTCTTAAGAAATTAACTGAATATGTACTTTTAATTTAAATTCCAGTAACTTAACTTTATTAGATTCCCGAATAAACTTCAAAATGCTAACTCTACCTCTGTTATCCTAGCCAATAGTTGCTGCTTTTACACACACGTTTCGTTCTCTTTTGGGTGGGGTGGTTTGCTGCGAGTTATCTTCCAATAATGCAAACCCCATGTTACTGTATTAAAATCTGTGTCACACAATGAGAAAGAAAACCTAGTGGAACTTAACTACTATTGGTGTTAGTACAAGGGTGAATTCAAAATTTAAATTCTATAGGTTCAATCTTTAAAATTCTTAATATTGAACAAATTCTATTTTAAATTATGGGCTTCATATGTATTAATTGTTGTAAATTTAGTAAATATTTACATATAAATTAACACTCCGTATCAAAAGTAATGAGTTCAGCTGCATTCGCCAATGAGGTTAGGTCCTTCAACTGGGGATGCAGCTTCCTGGTCCCTCGTACTAGTGACATATCTTAAGGTCCCTACTCCTTACTATATTGTAATCAATTTTCAAGAAAAGTTTCATTTTAATGGCAGCACTATGACAGTTCTTTCCCATTACACGTTGGTCTTTTTTTCCAAATTTATAAGCTACATCTATGATTACATTATGTCTAATAAAAATTGTTAAGTCGACAAAAATGTAAGAAGCTTTTAGGACTTACTGTATTACATATGGTAGGTTAAGAAGCCTTTTTTCTGAAACTTATGTAAACGTGGGATATTTCGTGTATCAAACCAAACTGTTAATTTTTAGTTTTACTCAAATGTGATTTACTGATACCTCCTACAAGTCCTCTAGGGGGGAAAGGGTAAGAAGGCTGTACAAGTAGTTCTTTTTCATTGTTAGCGAAATACAAAAAAAAAAATAGTAAATAATTTATGTCGTCAGCCATATCGAAAATTAAATGTATTGCCATTTCTGCAATTCTTTGGATATATAATTTGGATCCTTTTCCTGCATATCTTTTGAGTTGCACCAACCAAAGTCTCCCAACCAACTATAATGAGTTAAACAAACCAAAGATCTATCGATTATACCGAAGGGTTACGTGTACTTCGTAAATTTTTTGCAAAAATCTTGTATGTATATGTATATACCTTAAAAATAGTTAATTTAAATCACTTGATATTGTGAACAGTAAAAGCCTTTAAGGGGCACTGGTCGAGCAGAATATTGCGCTACCATCACATTAATATCCTTAATCGGTCTATGATCATATTAAATAATTTGTCTCCTTAATTTCTCGTCTACCTTCTTTTACTTTAACTTCTCTTGCTTTATTGACTTACTGTTTAAATTGAATATTGCAGTTTATGAAGTGTTCGAACGTATGGCATATTATGGAATATCATCAAATTTGGTAATATACTTAACTGAGAAACTGCACCAAGGCACAGTGAAATCTTCAAACAATGTGACAAATTGGGTTGGCACAATTTGGATGACTCCTATCTTGGGCGCCTACTTTGCTGACGCTTTTCTTGGACGTTATTGGACTTTCTTGATTGCCTCTGCTATTTATCTCTTGGTACGTCACTACTCCTCTACTCTAACTCATTACACGATTTCTATAACAGTCTCGTTTGTTCTAAAAAATTGGCTACTATAGTGAAATAATGTTATATAACACATATATTATAGCATAATATGAAAAATTGGTTCCAAAGAAAGCTTGGCCGTTATAGAGAAGACTTATTATAAAATGATGATTGTCATAGAGAAATTAGACTGTATACATATATTTTTTCTGAAAATACTAACTTGTTTCGGATTGAGGCGCAACACGTCTACTTTGTCATAGAACAACACAACATCACCGAGATGATGATGTTACTATAATCGCCTAGTGCCAAAAGTACATAGGACATGTTTGAATCCTCTGTTATAAGTGACATCCAACAATTAAACATATCTATAACAGTTTTGCCTGTTCCGATATTTTTTGGTAGCTATGATGAAGTATTATTATATATAACATATATCCTTTGTGTAACATAACATGAAAAATTAGTTCCCAAAAAAAAATAGTCATTATAGTAAAGTATTATTATAGATGATGACTGTTATAAAAAAGTTTGACTGTGTTTTATATTCCATCATTATATTAAAGATGTAATGTTGACGGGTTACTGATTTCCTGAGAAGGATATATGATTATTATGGAGTGTAATATTTCCAATACTCTATAATTGCAAGGTTAATTGAATATTCCAATTGACGAGCTGTCTTAGTAATAATCCCACATTGTCGTTATTAATCGTTGCACCAATAATTTATGACGATGTTTCATTTACTCCTCCAATACTTCATTTTCTTAATTAAATTTTGAAGTTGAATATTTTTTCCTTCTATTTATTTGCCCTATATATGAACATTTCAGATGGTGACATAAATAGACCCATACTTGTACGCTTGTCTCTTGTCGCATCCTACAATAATTTTGATTATTTTAATTGGCTATAGGTCATCGAAATGAAAAGAATTGACCATGAACGGTCCTGCTCTGGTACTAGTAAAATATACAGTAAGGAAAAGGCCATTAGCCATAAACCATTTCCCTTTAACTCAAGGACAACCCGGTGTATAAAGTATCCTTAAGGGTTGTATCTCTTGGGATGTGATGTAGGAATTAGTGACTGTTTTCGTAGCTCGAATCCATAATATATAGTTCATACGGAGATAACTTTATAGTTGCTGCAAAGCTCCCTTTTAATGTGTAACTTGACAAGTTGATAAATTACGTTGTCCTTTTCTGCTAGATACGACGTGATTACCAAAAAATATAAATCAAATACAAAAAGATGAAGTCATGACAAAGGTAATAGTATGATATTTCTTGTACTTAGCATTTGTCAGCAGAGTCCATTACTGTGACTCCAATGTATCTAGCTAGAGAGAATCTACTTTTGGAATTTTGCTTGCTTATATATTCCAATAAGATACACATACCCCCCCCCCCCCTTTTTTTTTCTTTTCTTATTTATAGTTTGTTTTCTTGTGCAAGTAGCTTTTCCAAGTTGTTCAAACTAATCCGGTTTGACTATTTCTTGATAGTAACATGATTTACATTAAATCGGATATAAATATATCAACTGAATTTTTAGAAGTTTTTATGAGGAAAAAATTAATACTATCTCATTTTATTTGGTGTACTTTTATTTTAACCTTTTTAAAACAAATATACTGAAACAAGAAAATGTTGACAAGCGGGAATTAAGGTGTAACTGAAAATTCAATCTTATAGTCCTAGGTAGACAGAAGAATTCTATTTTATATTGTTCATAAACATGTAAACTTCTAATAATAATGCTCTTAATGACCACTCTACCCGAGTCATAAGGCTTTGGTTCAGTGCTAAGAGATGTGTGGATTAAGCCTATGTCACGAGTGCAAACCCTACAGCGGACCGTAAAGGACAGGCTGGTGCATAAAACATCTCGCATTCATGCAAGGTTCAGAGAAGTGTCGCACTTGAAGAGATATGAGGTAGAGTGTCTACCCTAAAACAAGCATTAATGGCTGCTTTCACGGCTCGAACTCGAAAGTTATAGGTCACACTGAGACAACTTTACTGTTACCCCAAGGCTAAACACTACAGCGGACCATAAACTTGATATTTAAGATATTTACCGAGTTTTGAACCATGCGTGAGCTAATCATTATGGTATGTCAAGAGTATTCTACATACTTATTATACTCCATGATTAACCAAATTCTATTAAAATTGTAACAGGGTATGTTTCTACTAACACTAGCTGTATCAGTCCATGGCCTAAAGCCACCTCCTTGTGTCAATCCAACTGCAGCTAACTGCAAGAAAGCATCCACACTTCAACTAGCTGTGTTTTTTGGTGCACTCTACACCTTAGCCGTCGGCACGGGCGGCACGAAGCCCAACATATCGACGATCGGCGCCGATCAATTCGACGAGTTTCATCCAAAAGAGAAATCTCAAAAGCTTTCTTTTTTCAATTGGTGGATGTTTAGTATTTTCTTGGGAACTCTCTTTGCTAACACTGTGCTTGTGTATATTCAAGATAATGTGGGCTGGACTCTTGGATATGGGCTTCCAACAGTGGGCCTTGGTATATCAATAATGATATTTTTGGCTGGATCATCTTTTTATAGGCATAAAAAGCCCAGAGGAAGCCCATTTACAAGAATGGCTAAGGTCATTATAGCTGCCTTAAGGAAATGGAAAGTTACAGTCCCTACTGATCCAAAAGAGTTGTATCAGCTTGATTTGGGAGAATATACCAAAAATGGAAAATTCAGAATTGACTCCACACCTACATTAAGGTTTGTATTTAATTTTGTCTCTTAGTTATCTTACACTAATAATGCACGTATAGAAATTTTACGGCAAGTTATATATTTGGCCGGTTCGCCGAAATTAATTACATCCCCTAGCCAATATAAAAATATACATGTATTTGTATCGACATTAATATATCAAAATATATATTTTATCGCTTTATTCTGTATAGTTTTCCCAAAATTTTACACAAATGGTGTAATCCAACGATAATAGCATTTTACATTCCTTATTTATTTAGAACTCACACTTAGTAGAAACAAGTTCTCATCTATATATGATAATATTTTACTGGACGCATAGTTTAAAATATTGGATTGATTAATATAGTCAGTGGTGAAGTTAAAAATTTTCCCAAGGGTATTTAAATTTGAAAGAAGTGAAAAAAATCCCCGACAAAAGGTGTTCAATATGTGTTATATATCTCTAAAACGTAATATTTTACCTATATATACAGTGTAATTTTTCGACGAAGGGTGATCAACTGATCACTCTTATGACCATGTGGCTTTGCCACCGATAATAGTTTAGGAGTAGTAATGATGATGGAAGAAAATATATATTAAAGTGTGAATAGTTTAAAATTTTGACAATTGTAAAAGTGGTATGGTATCAAAAATTTTAGAACTTTTCAAAATAGGGGGAGCGTCATAAAAATTGGAGTGAGGGATTACTTGTTTTGTTTATGTGTCCATTTATTATATAGGTTTCTAAGCCCATGAATAACAAGAAAACACACACCAAAATAGGATAAGAAAGCAAAGAAAAAGAATCCATAGTACGTTCACATTACTTTAGAGGGAATATCCTCTCTACGTTCACAAGGTAGGGGTAAGATTTGGGTACACATTACTCTCTAAGGACCCAACTTGTAAGATTTGTTGTTGTTGTTATTTGCCTAGGATGACACGATAATCATGTAAAATATTTTGTTGCAGGTTTCTGAATAAAGCATGTGTAAAAACAGATACAACTGATCCATGGATGTTATGTTCAGTAACACAAGTGGAAGAAACAAAGCAAATGCTAAGGATGATACCAATCTTGATAGCTACATTCATTCCAAGTACAATGATAGCTCAAATCAACACACTTTTTGTCAAACAAGGCACAACCCTAAAGAGAAACATTGGTAATTTCAGTATCCCTCCAGCTAGTTTAGGTGCATTCGTTACCCTATCGTTGCTAGTCTCCGTTGTGCTCTACGATCGTTTCTTCATGAAAATCACCAAAAGATTGACAAAAAATCCAAGAGGTATAAATATACTTCAAAGAATGGGAATTGGAATGGCATTCCATATTGTGATCATGTTAGTAGCATCGTTCGTCGAAAGGCATAGACTTAGTGTAGCTAAGGACAATAACCTAGTTGAAAATGGTAAACAAGTACCATTATCTATATTGATTTTGCTACCTCAGTTTATTCTTATGGGAACAGCTGATGCATTTTTGGAAGTAGCTAAGATTGAGTTTTTTTATGATCAAGCACCAGAAGGGATGAAGAGTTTAGGAACTTCATATTCTATGACAAGTCTTGGTGTTGGGAATTTCATTAGTAGTTTCTTGCTTTCTACAGTTTCTGATATTACCAAAAAGCATGGGAATCACAGAGGATGGATCTTAAACAACTTGAATGCATCTCATCTTGACTATTACTATGCGTTTTTCGCGGTACTTAACTTATTGAACTTCTTCTTTTTCTTGTTTGTGAGCAAGTTTTATGTGTATAAAGCTGAAGTCTCAGATTCATTGGCTGTCCTAAGGCAAGAATTGGAGATTGGATAAAAACATAGGGTGACTAATAGCCAAGAAACTTCAACCAACACACAGATTTGATGGTAGGATATTAACTAACATATTTAGTTAGGTAGTGTACTATATGGTTATGGCGCGGATCCTCCAAAATTGCCACAACACGCATGTCAGATCCTCCGAAAATGCATGTCACTTCAGACATATCGGATCCTCCAAATATTATGCATTTTTGGAGGATCTGGCACGAGTGCTGCAGCATTTTTCGAGAATTCGATCATCGTAGCTATATAGTCCAATAGTTTTCTTCATCATTCTCTCCTGTCTCTTTGTTCTGATTTTCACACTATTGTAATGATAATCAGTTAAATATAGTTCTTTCGAGGTATGAAATGTGTGTATCTTGAGCAGCATTTTTCAATTCCATAGCTGATATTTATAAAGGAAATGGTTCTTTATATGGGTAGAATATGATAGTCTGTTTAAGCTCTTCTCCAACTCATATGCTAAAAAGGGCAGCACGGTGTACTAAACTCCCGCTATGTACGGGATGCGAGGAAGAGCCGGACCACAAGGGTCTATTGTACACAGCCTTACCCTGTATTTCTGCAAGAAACTGTTTCCACCGCTTGAATCCGTGACCTCCGGGTCACATGGCAACAACTTTACCAGTTACGCCAAGACTCCCCTTCAACTCATATGCTAATATAATAATATTCCTTCACTATCTACAATAATATGCCTCCAACAACAGGAAGATGGAACATATCAGATCCTAATACAATCTTGAGGGTAATTTGTCATAGAAATGATAAAATTGCTTATGAGTTTTTGAAGAAAACATTCCAATTAGCAAAGAATAGCTAAGTCGTTCGGAATCTTCACTTTCGGTACCGTACCCATGTAGATACGATGCGGGTGTGGGATCTGTACCGTATATGGTTAGCCAATTTTGGGTGCTTTGACCAAATCGACCAAGAAATTTGGCACAGAGAATGATTTCTGAAATTAAAACAAAAGCTAGGGTGAAATTGAAGAAAATGGAATAATTTATATATAGAAATTTTTGTATTAATCAATATTTTCTCCTTCTCAGAGACCTTGTAAGTTTTTCACATAATATAAATAATTTAGATGTTTTTGTATCTCATTTTTTAGATATTTGAATTATTTGTTGCCGAATCCCTGCACTAGTAGTTGTACCTAGATTCATAACCTCGAATCTTAAAATTTAGATCATTAAAGATCTGCTTCTGTATCATACACCCACACCTAAGTTCAAGCAACTTAGAAGAAGAGGCCATATTGAGAAAACAGGCCAACATACTCATAGAAAAAGAACCAAATGTATTGAAAAATAAACAGGAAAGGGAAAAAGGAAGAAAAGAAGAACATTTTGCAGGTAATCTGCTATTAGGTTGATTCATTTGAAGGATTTTAAAGAAAAGATGATAAGTTAAAAGGCTGCTGGAGTACTAGAGTAACTTGAGGAAGGTGTACAAATTTTTATTTCTTCTTTTCTTTATTGGACAAGGCATTATCAGTACTTTACACTTGTGGTGGGATGCTCTAATGTATAATTCTTTTGATATCTTTTGTATTACTTGTGAGATTACTATTGACCACATAGGTAGTTCTTGTCATGATTGTATACGGTCGAAATCGGGTCCAACTATTGAACGACATATCACGATTGAAATGCAATGGGTTGAAGATCGACCCCGGGATTCATTGAACCGAGATACGAGGTCAGGATGCCCATCCTCGAGAACATCGAGTCCATGGTCCAGGAATCAACCTTGACCCCGAATGAGCTCGACGAAACATTGCCAGACCGAATAACGAGAGGCGAAACATCCGCAACCGGTCGGGTATCACGGCGGGATCTCGGCATGTATCAATGGGAAACCGGCTAATTAGCAAATCATGGGATCTTTTACCTTTTATAGAATTGTACCTAAAGTATGACTCCCTTAATATATAAAGGGGGTCTAATCATTTGTAAAACACATCGTAGCACGCATCCCAAAGCATTATAATACTTCCTCTGTTCCAATTTATGTGAACCTGTTTGACTGGGCACAGATTTTAAGAAAAAATAAAGACTTTTGGAATTTGTGGTCCTAAACAAGTCAAAAAGGGGGCCAAGAGTATTTGTGTGGTTATAAAAGCTTTCTCATTAAGGGTAGAATCGTAAGTTTAAGTTAAATTATTTTCAAATTTATAAAAGGGTCATTCTTTTTGGAACAGACCAAAAACGAAATAGGTTCACATAAACTGGAACGGAGGGAGTACTATTTTCTTTCTGCAAGCCACTGTTCTTATGTATTTGATAGGCAAAATACATAACTTACTACCCGAACTATAAGTCAAATCCCTGTTACACACTTTCTGACGGCAAAAATTATAATACACACTCAACCTTTCAAAAGTGTATCTATGACACACCACTTTGTTTAGCTGGCATTCGCGTGTTATTCACAGAAAAATGGCGAGTGAACTCAAAAATTACTTAAAATTTTAAAATAAAAATAAAAAACTAAAACTTTAATTGGGTTTTGAACTCATAAGAACTCAACAATGGAAGTTCAGAATGCCTCCTTCAATCCGTCCATTCAAATGTTTTTAAGCTCAAGGAATTAGTTCTTAATCAATTCCAAGCAGTAAACAAGCCACTTAAAGTGTTAGATCTCAAATTCGCATCAACCGAGAACCCAATAACTATTTTTACATTCCGTTACCAGTGAAGTCTTTGAAATCAGCAATTGATTTCGAAATTCAACCCAAACAATTGTTACCCAATGATGTCAACTACAAATTCGAGATAGAAATCGAAGTTTATCTGTGGCTCGAACAATGAAACCCAAATCTCAAGTTTATTACATTAAAATCAATATTTTTTAAATCAATATTTCTTTTAAAAAGTGTGGTGTCGTCGGGATCGAAAATTGAATTGCAATCACTGTTTGGGAAATATTTGGGTGGAGTAATGTTCAAACCACCATTGCCGGCAAAGCTTCAAAGGTTGAAGTTGAAAAATTACATTTGAATATGAAATTTCATGTTCAAATTCAAGTGGGTGTTATAGGTCCTTGATGGAAACACTTGCACCAAGCTGAATTTGATGTTTGGAATGAATTAGAAATTGAAATTTATTAGGGGTGGCTTTGAATTAAAAAAAGTAACTAAAAGAGAGCTAAATCCTAAAAAAAGTTACAGACCTAAGAAGGAAGAAGACGAGGATAGATTTGCAATTTATGTCAAGGACACGTGTCGCAATCTTATTGGTGCGTGAGTTAGAGATGTTTTATGAGACTGGTCAACTACAAAAGTAGTGTGTCATAGGCACACTTTTGAAAGGTTAAGTGTATATTATAATTTTTGCCGTCAGAAAGTGTGTAACAGGGATTTGATCCATAGTTCAGGCGGCAATCTATGTATTTTGCCTATTTGATATCATTTGAATTACATCTAGTTCAAGTGAAACTTACGTTTCAAGACTATAACTGTTCAAGTCACACGGTTTGAATTTGCTTTATTATTGTTTGCTTTATTATAATTCAATTTATCGCTTTGTGTCAAATTAATCCACGTATCCTTAAAACCACTTGTAAATTTAATTGTTATCCGATTTTTAGGGTAAACAGTTTGGCTCCCACCGTGGGGTTAAGGATAATAGTGGTTATTTGATATAAATTTCCATAACACACACTATTTTACACTTTTTCTTTGAAGTGTCTCTGATTTCAGGCTTAAGCTCAAAATGTCAAACTCATAATTAGCACCTCTACCTGCTGACAATGAGTTTGGTCACCACAATGAAAATAATAACATAGCACCCGGTAGCGAGGTACTGCCCGTTAATCCCCTCGGAATTCTAATTGCGGACCCGTTGGACACTAATTCGCATGTGGCTATCGACACAAGCTTCCCTATTGACCCCGACAATAGCATCTGTGGTGGAGCCCGGTCGACAGGGCAGAATACTCAAAACAATGGAGGAGACAGGATCAATCTACGGATGATCTTCGAAATGTTACAGGCTTAACAGGCAGCGATAGCTCAGTTACAAAACCAAAGTCGCATACCGAGCAGAATCGAACCTGGTCAATCTCAAGAGACCACCCGTAGAGAGTAACCGGCCGCGAAGAGGTCGAGTGGAACGAGTTGGGTAATAACCCCGAGATCATAACAATGCTTGAGAAACTGACGAAGCAAATAGAACCAGGGGAGAAGAAAATTGAAGCGAACGACAAAAAGGTGGAAACCTACAATTTCAGGGTCAACCAGATCCCGGGAGTGCCGCCGATATTGAAAGGCTTGGATTTCAAGAAGTTTTTACAGAAACATTTCCCTCCGAGTGCGGCTCCAAAGCCAATCCTTAAAAAATTCTGCATGACTAAGATTCCTAAGTACAATGGGACGACTGACCCAAACGAGTATGTCACTTCATACACATGCTCCATCAAAGGAAACAACTTGTAGGATGATGAGATCGAGTCTGTATTGCTAAAGAAATTCGGAGAAACCCGGTCAAAGGGAGCTATGATATGGTACCACAACTTACCCCCTAATTCTATTGACTTATTTGCTATGCTTGCATACACTTTTGTGAAAGCACACGATGGGGCTATCAAGGTCGAAACTAGAAAGCCGGACCTCTTCAAAGTAAGGCAGAAGGATAATGAAATACTTAGAGAGTTCGTATCTCGGTTTCAAATGGAACGAATGGACCTTCCACCGGTCGTTGATGATTGGGCCGTTCAAGCTTTTAACCATGGACTCAATGTTTGAAGTTTGGTGGCTTCACAGCAGTTGAAACACAATCTGATAGAATATCCGGCTGTCACTTGGGCTGATGTGCATAACCGATATCAATCGAAGATCAGAGTCGAAGATGATCGACTAGGATCTCATTCCGGTTCCGTTTATTCTGTTAGACCCATCGACAGAGTCAAGAGAGATATCAACCGTGAACCAAGGCCGAACAGGGATCGATATCATCCGTACAATGAGGATCGAAGAAGAGCGGTTCTGGGCGGAGTTCTTTGTAAAATGAAGGGAGAAATGACCGAGGCCAGAGCAGCTGGGGACTCATGAGTAAGAACGGTTTCGACAGGCCTATCGGACCTAAAGAAGCACCAAGGTTATCGGAATATAACTTTAACGTTGATGCTGCTGCCATCGTATCGGTTATCGCACGCATCAAAGATACCAAATGGCCTCGACCTCTACAATCTGACCCAGACCAAAGGGATCCAAACCAGATGTGCAAATATCATGGCACTCACGGCCACAGAATAGAGGAGTGCTA